TAGTAGTAGTAGTAGTAGTAAAACTCCAAAATCCGAAAGTCTGCTGAACCCGATGGTGCCCATGAGCTCAGCCTTCCACATGCTCACGTCCCGCAGCAGTGACTCTCGCACCTGCCAGGCAGCTCTTGCTGCATATGTCAACTATCATGTGGAGACAGATAGATAGATAGATAGATAGATAGATAGACAGATAGGGATTATTATAGGTATAGTTACAGATGTAGACAAGCAAAAAACTTCAATATGCAGATGTTCAAGGCTGCCCTCAATGCCAAAAAATAGCGATCAGGCTCGAGAAACCCTACCGAAGCGCGAGTAACATGGCTGCGATGACAACCTCCTGAAGTATCGACCACAGGAGAATCAAGCAAAAACATCATTTTCGGTTGAACTGTGGACCTGATGAGTATACAGCTGCTAAACGACATGTTGAGGTGGCTAGACTTTGCAATCGCGTCTTCTAGTTCTATGAAACTTTCACGAAATTAGAAGCCGAAGCTCAGGCCATGCGCAACACACCAAACACTAAGATTCGTAGGATGCGAGAACACACTCCAGAAAATGGCTGTTGATCCCCTAACTGGAGAAGCCAAACGCTTCGTAGCCGCAGGCCGCTCCTTTGTCTTTTCGGCCACAGCCTCCCGAAGAACCTGCGATGCGGATTCGGGTTTCGAGTTCACCGATATAATGTACTTTCTGCAAGCCCCTTTTTGGCGACAGAGCAAATCCGAGATGCGTCTAACACTTCGGGTTCTCCGGATCAGAGCGGATCGTGCTTTTCTCTGCACGTGTCCTCAATTCTAGCGCCCTAATGACACTAACGTCGAGCTGACTAGCTTCTGCAGCGAACTTACAGATGTAAGGCCGATGTCGCCGTTGCAGGACGGGGGACAGGAAGACGAAACTGTCAGGCAATAGCAGCCGTCCGTTCCGGGATCCAGGCAAAAGCGACGTTGATGGTGTAGCTTTTAGGGGCCTGGGTTTCGGGGGGGTACGGCATGTAGTGCAGCTACAGCATAGCATTGCGCAACCGCTCTTATCACTTCTTCTGGAGCCAGACAATCACAAACCATGATGCCCGTCGGATCACATACACGACATGCTTTGGGTGCAATGTAGGAGCCGCAAAATTTCCTACTGTTACTCCTGTGCAATCCACGCATGAACATAATACTGTCTACGACTGCTCAGATCAAAATCCCACAACTAGCGGCCAGTTCTGGCACATACTTCGGGCACATAAAGAACAATGCGGTGGGCTCACAGGGAATATCTGCTCTAGACTGAGCATGGGTACACAGCCGGAGTAAAGCCATGCAGCTGGGTGCTACTAGGCCCCACTCCTAAGAAATCCTTACTGCAAAGTCACAGCTTACTACGAATGACTCATGTCGAACTACAACTGATTTCTTGTGCTCCCATTGCAAACTCCACAAGTGCATGTCGAATACATGGCTTGTGTTCATCCACACTTCCCGGCCCCATTCTGCATATGCTGTTCACGCGCCTGGATCTTGCCAGCTTTGAGTCCAACGACATCCTTCCCAAGAAGGAAAGAACAACTAGCACTTGTTTGGTTAGAATCTTCACTAACAGTGTACCTGCCGCCCCTTCTAACATGACGCGACGACCACCCCGAGTTCGAGAAGCGTCTTGAGGGCCCAGCATGCACCGAATCTACGGTCCAAGGCAAGCCTTGCACCTAAAACCCGGGTCCCTTCGGCAACACATGCGTGAAACTTAAGATCTGAGCATGGCTGTAGCCGCCTAGGAGGTTAGGGGTCGGGGACCGTGAGCCATGGGTCTTGGGCTGGGTATGGCTGGGTTACTGTTCAGGACTTTACGGCCAAGGCTTCGGGGAGTCTCGGTGTAAATTGTGGTTGCAACTGTCTTCTGCTATAATGCACATTGAGCCCAGAAAGCCCCGCTGCGCCTCAAGTCCGCGAATTCGACTTCGAAGATCCACCTCGGGGATGTTCAAAGAAAGGGTTCCCTTTTCCTCTGAGAGCCTTGAATTAAGTGGCCCAGGGCTTGCAGCGCCGCGAGACGGCTTGAAGCTCTAGGCTTGCCTGATCTGCAGCCGCTGCTGGTCTTTATTGGTGGTGGTTTTTGGAGTCTAAGACGAGGGGACCCAAACAGTTATGGTGATCTTCGGACCTATGCGAGACACCGCCAACCAGAAACCCAGGCCCCCAGCTTTCCTGAAGGGAAAAGGTTCGGATGGTGCTGACAATGGCTGGCAATTCAGGAACTGAGAGGAAGTGATGCCAAGCCGATATTTTTGGCAGCACACCAGTCTGGTTCTTCGTCAACCTCTCAACCCTAAGCCCCTTAGCAGGAGCAAGAGGAGCACAAGTTGGTGCAGGAAGAGGCATTCAAAGAGGCTCCCGTGTGAACAGAGACTGCTAGGCCGCTAGGCAATCCGAGCCGGAAAGCCTCGGCCCTGAACCCAAAGCCCGAGAGCCACTTAGGCCAAAGAGCCCTCAAACTCTGAACTCCAAGCTCCCAACTCAGAAGACCACAAGACCCTCAGCCCTAGCAGTCAGGTTGGGGTGCTATCCCGGGCCGAGGGGCCTCCTCGGCTTGGTGGTGCCCGGCCTCGGAGCTCACGCCCCTTCCGGGTTTTTGGGTTTGGGCTTCCGTCTTGCGGGCAAGGACGGGCTTTAAGGGCCTCTGCGGGCCCAAACTGCAGGAATCAGATTCGCCTTGGAAAAAATCTAAGGAGGGGAGAGCTCTCTTCTCCGACCTGCGAGTCCATGCGCTGCTGGAACATCTCCCGGCACAGCCGCAGGTCTTGCCTCAGGACATCTCAAAAGTCTCAACGGCTTGACAAAAGTTGTAGCGTGAAGGACGAGGCTCTCAGGAAATGCAGGAGTCTCACAGAGTCAGCACACTGTGGTGCTTTGCCATGCTTTGCCACAGTGTCTCCGTGTGGTGACTTCCTGGGCGCTGAGCTCGTTGGCCGTCTGCGCATCCAAGCGCTGGACCTCCATCTGCTGCCTGAGGGCCTTATTCGGCGCCCTAACCGGACTCGCTTAACTGCCAAACTCAGCTCGAAGCAGGCCGCGCCTCGTTGTTGCGCACGGCCTCCGCGAGAGCCTCAGTATGCAGAGGCTCACTCTGTCTCTCACACACATCTCACGGCCTGCACGAAAATCTGCTCCCTGAAACCCGGACTTCTAACTCCAGACACAAGACTAAAGCCCTACACCCTGAACCCCCAACCTTAGTGTGCTGGAGCCCAGTCACCATCCCCGAAAGCTGTCCTCTGCAAGCTCCCAGTTGGCCTCGTCAGAGTCGTGCACTCGCTGGCGCAGGGTGTCCACCTGAGGGTTTTGCACTGTTGATTTCTTTTTTCGGGGTCATGGCTTAGCCTTGGTTTGGTGTAGGAACAAACAACCGAACAATCGACATCGCAATGCTTGTGCTACTCTTGTGCTGCTAAACTCCTAAGCCTCACACCCAGACCCCCAATGTAAGACCCTTTAACCCACATCCCCATGCAGGCCATTGCATCCTACCCATGCCCAAACCATGACAACGCATGATAACGTCCATGCAACTAGTCCCATTAGCGGCTAGAGCATCCAAGCCAGAACGAAGACAACCTCCGGTGGCTAGCGGAAATGCCAGCAACTAGTAACAGTATGCCGAAAACAACTGAGAGTATTTATGACGAGGATGGAAGCGAAAAGAATGTGCAAGATACACAGCGTAACACGCAGGTGAACAGCATGCCGGCGTCTTCTTGGATCCCGGCAGTAGCCTGCCAGATGCCCAAGGAAAAATTTGAAAGTTTAGGCTTCTCCAACGCTCGGACACCATTCCGAGAAGTGGTGGCATATCGAAGGCTTCAGGAGTCTAAACCGGGTTTTGCTACCGGCTCAGAGTTCAGCATCGGGGGGTTCGATATCTAGCAGGTTGACACTAGGACTCAGGGGTTCAGAGTCCGTTTCGATGTGTGACTTGCGCTCAAAAAAGAGCTCCAAAGACCTGGGACCTGATGCCAAACCCCCAGCTTGGCGGCCCTGAAGCCTTGCCGTTGAACTCAAACTCAATGGATTTGCTGAGTCTCGCGGGAAAGCCTGGAGACGATCTCGCTCGCCTTGGACCTGAGTCAGATAGGGGCCGCTTTAATCAAGAGTTCCGTTCACAGCTTCGATTAACGATTTTGGAGTGGTGACTTCCAACACGGGCCTTCAAAAGAAAGGGTTCCCGATATACAATAGTGACCAATAGTGAACAGTCCAGGGGCTACAGCTGTTGAAAAAACCCATGGGTTTGCAGCAGGTGCTAAGTTTTTGAACCTGCTGGGACAAAAACTGCTGCCGCATCGGGAGCTCCAAAGATAAGCTCGACGACGCACTTACAACCCTGAAAGGCACAAGGTTCAGGATCAGCTGTACATACATAGCAGCTGTGAAAATCGCATTGGAGCCGCCTGCTCTGCGAACTGCCGCAAAAGCGAAGTGTTGTTGTGGTACTGGCCGAAGTGTTGGCAACATCCAAAAGCTTTTTCGATCACCTTCATGTCGCAGTCCTCGCCCTCTCTTGTCAGGGGACCGTGGCCGTGCTCACCTTTGACATACTGTTACTTCCGCACTTGCTCCATGTCATACCCAATCGTAACCCTGCGCTTCTTCGGAGCGGCGGCTCCCGGCTGCGCCGGTGTAGAAAAGGAGGAAGGCTCCGGCCAATCTTCTGCCACCGTGCAGCTGACCTTCTCCAAGCTCTTGTCTGGGCATTCGAAGTGGATAAAGACTGTTGCTAGTGCACAGATCCTCGCAGGACGCTCCTCGTATAACCCATAGTCCAGCACCGGACGTCAACAGCAAGAGCTGCGTAAGCTTCCAGCGCGTGAAGCAAGGGCTGCATCTGTGCTGGTCGAAGTATTCATAGCATCCTGACAAGTCTTTCAGCTGTTGCGCGGAGGTGAAGATGTACAACAAAGCGATTTCCAAGATCCTGTCTTCGACCCTTGGTAATCTGCGAAAGATGGAGCCAGCTGGTAAAGGACGTGTCGGCGGGTTTTTTCAAGAGACGTTGACGTTGCTGGGAGTCCGCCGTGTTCACGCAGAAGTCTGCAAGAGCAGGCTGTTGTCGGCACGTCGGCACCGGAGATTCGTGCCGATGTGGCCGCCTAGATCAAGCACATAGTCCGCGCTCTTGGGACTGAATAGCGCGGCGGCGGTGTTATCAGACGGCTTGTAGCACGCCCGTCCAAACACCTCATAAATTACTCTCATGTCGCAGTCCTCGCCCTCTCTTGTCAGGGGACCGTGACCGTGCTCACCTTTGACATACTGTTGCTTCCGCACCTGCTCCATGTCATACCCAATCGCAACCCTGCGCTTCTTCGGAGCAACCCCAAACCCTACGACCTTAAAGCCCTACACCCTAAACGAGGTGCGAGTGGGTGAACCCGCCGGCCTTCAACTGGTCAAGTACGTTAGCGCAGGGCAGCGGGCCAGCGCCGAAGCGGCGGCAGCGCCTTGCACTGAACTCGACGATAAGGAGGCGGGTGTTCTTCCAGTCTCGGCGCTAGGCCAGAAGCTGAAGCTCGGATCTTTCCATGTCCATTTGGAGGACTGTGTGGCGATCCGTCAAAGCTTCCTCGAGCGAGATCGCTGGCACCAGCGTTGTCAGCCAGGGGTGCGCAACGGCGTCTGGCAAGACGACAAAGAAGACTTCCAGCTTCCTGTCTTGGAGCCTGCAAAGTTTGAGAAAGACAAGCACGCCCTCGCGCCAATTTGCGCGAGGCAGCTGGTGCGGGCTATGAGAATTTGTTCCCGCTGTCGTCGCGCCAAGTTCTCCAAGAAGTTCGCTCTGTGTAGCAGTAGTAAAGATCGCCGAAGACCATACATGAGGTTAAGGATGAAGGCTCCGGCCAATCTTGTGCCACCGTGCAGCTGACCTTCTCCAAGCTCTTGTCTGGGCATTCGAAGTGAATAAGACTGTTGCTAGTGCACAGATCCTCGCAGGACGCTCCTCGTATAACCCATAGTCCAGCACCGGACGTCAACAGCAAGAGCTGCGTAAGCTTCCAGCGCGTGAAGCAAGGGCTGCCTCTGTGCTGGTCGAAGTATTCATAGCATCCTGACAAGTCTTTCAGCTGTTGCGCGGAGGTGAAGATGTACAACAAGGCGATTTCCAAGATCCTGTCTTCGACCCTTGGTAATCTGCGAAAGATGGAGCCAGCTGGTAAAGGACGTGTCGGCCGGTTTTTTTCAAGAGACGTTGACATTGCTGGGAGTCCGCCGCGTTCACGCAGAAGTCTGCAAGAGCAGGCTGTTGTCGGCACGTCGGCACCGGAGATTCCCTGTTCAAGAAACCATCGCGTAGCCGTGCCGATGTGGCCGCCTAGATCAAGCACATAGTCCGCGCTCTTGGGACTGAATAGCGCGGCGGTGGTGTTATCAGACGGCTTGTAGCACGCCCGTCCAAACACCTCATAAATTACTTTCATGTCGCCCACTGTGCAGCTGGCCCTCTCAATGCTCTTGTCTGGGCTTTCGAAGTGAATAAGATTGCTGCTGGTGCAGGAGAGGCGAGGCTGGCACGAAGAAGCAAGGCTGTTGCCGCATTTTCGCTACTGACTGGTCCTAAAGCTTCTTGAGCCCAAGCTCGACAATGCAAACATGTAAACCCTCATCGCCCTAATCCCGAACCCTTCCTGCATACCCTTGAGAGCCCCGTAGAAAGCAAGGCGTGCCCTGCAGCCGCCGTCCCCAAGGGTTGGCTTCCGGGGCTGCTGAGTGCCAGACCAAGGCTAGGCGTCCCTGCGCGTGGTTTCAGGACCCTTGCTTCAATGGTTCGGGATTTCATGCTGTCGTGCCTGTGGGGTTTAGGAATCTGGGATTAACGGTTTTATGATTTAGGGTGAATGAAAGGGAAGAAGCGCGAAGGCATAGCTTCGGGTTTAGGTCCAGGGCTTCATGGCGGAAGAGCTTCAGCCGCTAGAGCACTGTCTCAAAGGCCAACACGACCTCTTGCGGAAAGGAAACTCCTTGATAGGGGTGTCGAGTTCACCACTGTGGAGAATGAGCCTTCAGCAATATGTGTAAAAATGTGGACAATACTTCAGTGATCTTCAATGCATCTGTTTCTACTTCACGGCCATCATGATGCAAGCGATCGCCTCTCTTCATCTTATCGGCCTGGGCATAAGACCTTGGACTCCTACCCCCAAAATTTTAAAGGCATTGGAGCTCTATTTGTAAATCTGTCTATCTGAGTCGGTCTATCTACATCTTTATACACACACATACGTAAGAGAGAGAGAGAGAGCAGGAGAGAGGGTTCGCCGTGAAAGATGCGGGGACAACAACAGAGCTTCACACAATCATAATGCAGATTTGGTCCAGCCTCCAGCTGATTTGCCTTCCGCCGAGCTGTTTGAGTCATGGCCTGCAAGGCTTAGAGCGTCACAACATAGCCAGTGTCGATGACACGTTGAGACCCTATGAGCGAACACCGGTTCATCCAGAGCCACCACAAGGGAAAATGCGGGGAAGTTTTCCATCATGTTCAGAGCTCTACTTACTCGATAGTTTAGGGTTTAGGGTTTAGGGTTTAGGGTTTTGGTTTAGGGTTTAGGGTTTTGGGTTTAGGGTTTCGATATCTGGGTGGTTGTCAAAATTATGGTCCCTTCTTGGGTCCTGATTATAATACGGCAACTATGATTTAGGGTACCCCAAAAAGCGACCCTAATTTTGACAACTAACCATCTCTAACTCGAGATCTGTACACAACTGTACACATGAAGCGAAAACTCACAGATGTGTTGCCAGGTGTAAATTGCTGATTTCCGATAAGACGTGTCATGTACAACGTGCTTTGCGCGTGGACGGCTTTGAACCCTGTCTGCGTTCAGTGGGCGCTGCTTTTTTCGGGCGCTGCTTTTCCACGCAGATCTTGCGATGCTCTGGCCAGGAGCGCTTCTGACCTTCGTGCAGAGTGGGACCCCCCAAGGGCTTTGCCGGGGACTGAGACCCGACCTTGGACTATGGCGTCAGGGGTTAGGATGGCTCAGAACTTAGAGGGCGCTGGGCGGTTGGGATTTAGGATTAAGGGTTGATGATTTGGAGCTCAGGGTTTAGGTCGATGTTTGAGAGAGGACTTGGAGGAAGCATCTTCTAAATTGCTTGGTATCTTTACCTTATTTCGGGGCCTCCCTCAGTGGTTAACGCTTCTGAGATTGCCATGGGTAGTCAGGTTCTGCAAGCGCTGGGGGCGGGACATTCGCTGCCACATAGCAGAAGCTCACCTGGCAGAGCATGGCGGACTTCGTTCTACAGACTGGAGGTGGGAAACTTTCCGGATGTCACGGCTTCAGACTCAACTTACAAAAACAGTTCTAACGTTTCCCATGTTGATGCGAAAAGGGCTGAGGATGGCTCAGGTTTCCAACGCCCTTCGAGCGTGGTGGCGGGAGGAAAGCACAATAGCACAAAGTGAAAAGAAGGGCAGAGACGGTTTGCAGCGCCGCCAGCCCGTTTCTGTTTAGGACTGTCTCCTGAGACTGTAGACCGTAGACCACTGCTTCCACGCTCGCGTTGCTCAGACAGCATGAATCCGAAATGTTACTGCCTAAGAGGCTCGTGCTGGAAGGGGAAGACTCACACAGTGGAACACGCGCACCCCGCCTAGAAAAGAGCCAGTCAAGGCTCAACCTGAAGCCTTCAATTGTAGCAATCCTCGTGGATTGCGTCACGGCGATGAACACTGCAAACGTGCTGGGGCTTGCGACATCGGCCACACCTGTGACAGCCGGCGGGCAGAAAACGAGCCACTTGCAAGTACAAGTGCGTGTGGAACTGTTGATGGGCTACTCTAACATGCTCTGACACCGTTCTTATCGTCACTGACATATCCGAAGAACCATCATCACCACCACAACCTGAGAATGGACCAGGTTGGAGTTCAGAACTCGGCAGCTGGCAGAGTCCAAGGATCTGCATGTTAAGGGCTTCGCCGACGACACTCCAGGATTGCAGCTGCTTCGATTGACGACGTGACCCAAGCGAGACACACCAGTTTGCCCCAGCTGCTTGCTGACACTGGGCTTTCTAAAGTTGGCTTAGACAATTAATGGGCGGTGAGCCGCAGGTGGAAGGACGATCCGGCACTCGCGTGTGCCGCAGCTGATCTAGTCGCGGGGGAGGTCGCAGGTCTCTGTCAGCATCCGGACAGGATCTCCGAATCGCACCTCGTGGTGGCTGGGCGGCCACACACGCCACAACTACCAGAAGTCGCAGGAGCCTGCACGGCCTTAGCATTGCGGCTGTGGCAGTGCACGAAAACGTGGTCGTTGCAGTATGTTGCAGTGCTGCGCTCAGGTAGCTCTACGAGTAGATGCGATCTTCCTCTGACGAAGATTGAGGTACAGGACGGATACCGGGCTCAACAGAATCACCCCGTTTTCGGAGGGAATCATCGCAGTCATTCGACATCCCAGGCACTTCCACGTACCAGGATGTCAGCCCTAAACCGAGAACCCCGAAAGCTTGACACTGCAAATGCCGGGGGACCGACGTTCTGCTTTGCATCCAGGCTCCTGAGTCGTGCCAGCCTGGGCACCGCAGCATCTCAGGCTATCTCCAAGCCCTCGTCGCAGTCCGAAACCCCTCCCACGCAATGTCACGACACCAATGTCTTGGAAGCCTTTCCTGCAGGGGTGGACCCCCCAAGTCCACCTTTCCAAGCTGAAACCTGCGAAAGCCCCAGGCGCCCCCGCAATGCCCGGCCAGGCCCTCGCCCGCTTTTCTCGAGTACAGCGGCCAGAGCGGCATCAACCTGTTGTCGGGTTGCGAAAGGTGACGATGACGGCGCGAATGGCAAATGTAACTTGGATGAAAAGATTCAAAAATAGTCGTTGCATCCTGTCGTGCTGTCTCCCGCCCCTTCGCTCTGACTCGGGGTTGCAGGAGCTAGGAGCTGCAAGTACTTTGGAATGCAAGTGGAAATCCGGTTCACATCAGCGTCAGGAATCGTCCCGGCAAGATTCCGTGGGGTGCGGCCCGGGACGCTGCGAGTTTCCAAGATTTCCGGGCTCTGGTACCAAAGCTGAGCGTGCTGGAAGTGCTCGGTAAAATGGAGGACATGCCAGTCTGCGGCTCTGGGAAAGGCGAGCCCTGGTACAGGCACCGGCCTGCTCCGCTGCAGGCAGGGCATCGTAGCCGAAGATCTCCTTTGCAGAGATGGGAACATTTCCGGTGCGAAGAGGCTTTGTGGTTTCGGCAAGGGGGGAAGATCAGGGAAGTCGTCGGGCGCTGGCCACTGCGCAGCGGAAATGAGCACGCGTTGTGCAGGAAATTCCCAAATCCTGAAACCTGAACCTGAAAACCCTGAAGCCCAGACCCCAAAACACGCCAAAAACCCTGAGAGCTTTAAAATCCCTGCGTTCTCTCTAGCCTTTTAGCTTCGCCTGTCCTCTTTGGGTGTTCCGGCAAAGCTCAGCATCGAGTCCAAAATCCGCTCCAGGCCTCTTTGACAACTCCAAAAGGATTCCATGGCACTGCTGTTTGGCGTTCAATTTCCACAAGCTGCAGGCTACAGGCTGTTTCGGGTCGAGGGAACTTGCATCGAATCCAGCATCTGAGGCAAATCGCTCGGCACAGGCTAGCCTGGTCACGCCATCGCTCGTGCGTCACCGGAGCGGATATGAGCAAATGGCAAAGAGTTTAGGCGTAGAATGCCTTTCAAACCTGAGGTCCGCATTGCCTCGCCCAGATGAGGGCTTCTGCTTTTGCCAGCTTGCTACGGGGCACGCACTCTCTCCCGCCATTCGCTTCTTTGCCCCACGTTCGATCCAACCGAAGAACTCAACAGACAATCGCGATGTCGCTTTGAGTTGAAGGCTGAAGGCATCCCCAAACCTCTGATGAGCTGAGTCACAAAAGCCTACAAGTTTTCAATCATAGAGTCTTGCCAGCTTGAACAAAAGCACGTGGCCTTGACCCTCCGCGTACTGGGAGTGCACTGCCCAGGAGGCCTGCCAGAGTCCGGTGAGGGAAAGTGGGATTGAAGGACTTCGGGTCTCGGACTTGTGGGTTGGGCTGACGGGACCTTTTTGATGAGGTAGAGCAATGGCTGTGGTGATATAGGCACGGCAAAAATTGCAAAACCCAAAATGCTCTAGCTGTCAGACGACGACAGAGACGGATAGGAAGACGGCGCTGGTCTGGTCTGTATGGGGCCATCATAGGACTGAGAATTTCCGTGCTTAATGCTGTGGGCAAACAAAACCGTAATCGCGCAACTCTCAAAAACCTCGGGTGGAAGCAGGTAAAAGTTCCTGCCTCATCGCAGTAGCACTGTACCTCAAGCAATCGCGGCCGCACAAACAGGCAAGGAGACAAAAAATATGTATGACCTTTAACAATCTCCTGTTCCACTGAACATGCTCTGCAAAGAAAGGCCACCGCAGGGCTTGCATGAGAAAAAGTATCGCACCAAGAAGATGACGAAGCAGAGCAATACCGCTTCTTTCCCTTGTTGGGCCGCGCACCCACCAGCCTGCGCTCACCACCACCAGCTCCCCTGGTAGCAGCAGCACCTGCTAGGCACTGCTATAACAGGCGGCTTGTCGGAGGAACCCAGCTGCGAAGAGCAATTTGGCCACCGTGGGATCCCACACTTACTTACGGGCAGCGGGGCTAAGCTCATCTTTCCAAGAACGTCATGCCTTAACTAACAGTCTGTCAACCCTAAATCCTTTGTCCCAGCGAAACGCTTAAGCTGGAATTCCTCATCACCTCCTGCTGGACAACAAAAAGACTACGCCAACCCCAGGACCCGAATGGCGCTTCAGCCCAAAAAACCTGCAGCCGCAAGATCTCCCGGCGGATTTCTGGGCTCAAGGGCTACGGGTTTAAGGTGTTCTGCTTCTTAGTCCGGCAGCGACATACGAGAATGGTCGTAGCTGTGATCTCATAGAAATATTACCGAGGTACGTCGAATGTACTCCTGTGAGAGTCTGTGCAATAGACACATGCAGCTATACTTGGCTGGCGAACCCGTTGTTCCTCCCCCCTCTAGTCGCAGCAGCAACAGTAGCAGCAGCCGTAGCAGTAGCGATAGTAGTAACAGTAGCTGTAGCAGTAGCAGGACTACTACTACGACTACTACAACCACTGCTACTTCCACCACTGCCACCACCACCACAACTAGGGCAGGAGCAGCAGCAGGGGCAGGCCAAGGCTGTGAGTGCAATGGTAGGCTGCTAGTAGCGTGGGGTTGAAATCTGCTCATCACTGACTCCGAGACGGGCCCACTGCAAAATGATGACGATGATGACGACGGTCATCCTCACTATCTTCTTCTTCTCACGCAGCCAGGGAGTCCGGTCTGGTCTAGCGGGCACCATACATCACATGCATTGTGCATGGACGGCTTCTTGAAGAAGCAGCACATGTGCTCTTGTCCGAGCAGCTTGAATGCACCGAGGTGCCGTAGATAAGTAACTTTGTTACTCATCAAGCTCGTTGAACCACACTATCTGTCTTTCAGTGGCGCACTTATTATGGCGCCGAGGAAACAAAAAGCGATCAGTCCTCATCTCCAGCATTTTGATTCGATGTTGCAAGTCCTGGTAGATCTGGTTGAGGCTGGCCATGTCCGCCGCAATCTGTCGCAGCTGGTACTCTAGCAGGAAGAGCTGAGCTGCATGCCAATCCATTTCCTGCCGGGGCAGATCGTTGATCGGCACGTAGATAGGTGTCGGCATTTCCCGCAGAAGCAGATGGAGGTTCGGTTGAGCTGAAGAGGGCTGTGGCACCGTCAAGAGTGAGAGCCACTACGTACATGTTGCAACACGCATGATCATACATGTGTGCACTGAGGGGCCGCGGATCTTTTGCATCGTCGAGCAGCCATTGGTGGCTCTGACTGGCCTGAATCACTGTATAATGGCCTGAGTTCGGAGCAGCTCCGTGATGCTGCACGTAGCAGCAGGGACGGTAAGGCACCCACCGCACCGAGAGGTCGTGGGCATTCTGATACACAGGTACCTGCAGCACGTCAGCGAAGTGGTATGCTTGGGCAGTTTTATCTGGCTGTCCGCCCATGCAAACCGCGGCAGCTGTAGAAACATCCAGGGGTACGGTGCATCGAGTGCATGCATCGCATCTTGGCGATGCCAGAAAAGAAGCAAATCCTGCAAGTCGCCCGTGTGGATCGGCGGAGCAGGAAGCACAACACACTGAGTGATAGGTGTATCGAGCGCCTTTTGCACGCCTGCCGACAGCAGCCGCCTGGCCTCAACCCCGCCTGCAGTCAGCCGTGTGGCCAGCTTAGGCAACAGATGTGCCAGAAGCTCAGCTATATCATGCTGTCTCTCGGGCTGCGGCCAGGCAAGTAGATGGAACCCCAAAAGCTGGCGTGCCCGAAAGCACCCAGACTTGTTAACCCTTAGGACCTGAGGCAGTGCAATGGAGGTCGGTGCTGCCCGCGTGGCCAACCAAAGGCTGTAAAGGGCAGCATTCAAGTAGCACTGATTACCCGGATTGAGTAAACGAAAGAGAGGCAGCTGTTGCTGAGGTGTAGGCCCTGCAACCACATCACCGACCGGAGGGATCGTGCTCGCGCCAGGGTCAGTGTGCCCTCTCAGTTGCCGTAGGTCAGCTTGGCCAACTGCTGCACCATGGGACCGCGCTGTCGATTCTCTCTCCTGAGAGACATCCCGATCAAGCCCGTCGCGGAGTTGCTGATGAATCTGACCAGGGCCTCGTGCACCTCCTGCGCCTCCTGCCCTCGTAGACTCACCTCCAGTTTGAAGGCTGCGGACGTGGCTTCCTGCTCCTCCAGACTCTGCATCGTCTGGGTGCTGTGGAAGTTCTGTATGATTTCGCCCTTCATGTTGGAGTGAAGCATGTTGAGCAGGCGGACTGCCTCCGTATGTTGCAGGGCCGGCCGGGATTTGTCCGTCAGCAGCTGCTTGGTGGTGTGGCACCACTTCATGTAGTACCAGTCCCCGTTGTCGTCCATCCAGCCCGCTGCTTGCACCGACTTGCGGCCTTCGGGGGTGGCCGAAATAGTTTGTAATCTTTGAAGGAGCTCCTTGATCAAGTTGGCAAGGAGGAGGGTGCGCAGGGGCGAGGTGAGAGCCGGATCGTTCTGCTCCTTCTTTTGCCGCCATTCCTTGGCCATACTCATCATTGCAGGCAGTATGCTGCGCGTGTCCTGTCTTAGGAACACCATCAGTCCACGGTCCAGTTGCAGGAGCTGGAGGGCATCCGCTTGCTGAAGCACTACCTTGCTGAGGAGACGAACATGTTCGGGAAGGGTAGGTGGCGGCTGGTAAGTATAGCGAGCTGTCTGATCCTGAAATCCCTGGCGGCGGCTCTGGTGTTCCGGGCGAGGACGCTTGGCTCGGCCGCCCTTGGGTGGGAGAGTGAGCTGGGCCTGCGGCTGTGATGCTGCCGGAGTCGGGGCGGCACCGCTGGGGAAACAGTAACGGAAGATGTCCGCCTCGAGGTTCTCCACTGCGGCCGGTGTCGTCGTGGTTTCGGTCATGCTGCTCTTGGCGATCCTGAACGTACAGGTGAGCAAGGCAAAGCTGAAACAAGACAGTACACTGCTGAGAGTGCCTCTTGGGCGCGCCAACACTGGTGCGGCAGAACAAACAAGCGCGTCCCCTAGAGAGCTGTGCTTTGAATGTGAGGCATAAGGCGGCCACCCTGTCAGTAAGGTTCCCCAAGGAGTGAGCATGCACGCGATGGTAGTGCTGCTTGACGTGCTTAGAGTCGGCTAGCCACATGTTGCACAAGACACAATGTGATTGCAGCTGGGCTCGAGCCGTGGAGTGAAGCGCCCATGATTCCCAGCGATTCTGCGCACGAAGAAAGGAGGGGCGCTGCACCAGGGGCAAATCATGCTCTGGCTCGACCCCAGTGACAGTGTTCGCCTGCAGCTCCAAGCTCGCTGCCGCATCTTTTTGCATGCGTTCCTGCTCTGCCTCCTTAACAGGATGCCGGACAAGACTATCTCCGCCCAAGGCCGAGCAGGCCCCTGTCTCTATATGCCGCTGCAGCTGCTGCCACCGAAAGAAGCGCCGTCTGCACAGCTTACACTCCGGAAGTCCACCTACTGAGTGCTTGCTAGCATCAAAGTGAGTAAGGATCCTAGGGTGGTCAGGCAGGTAGCCGTGTTGCAGCTTACAGTGTATACGCATGGCATTAAGGGTGGGGAAACTCTTATCACAAACCTGACAGGGGACGGGCTCGGCAGGGGCCTCAGGGTTTCCAGGTCCAGGCGAGGCGTTAGCCTCCCGTTTAAGGAGAGACTCAAACAGGCGGATCAGATCACTGGCGTAGTTCATCGCCCTGTCCTCAGTGGTTACGTCCGGAGCCATCTGGTACTGCGCCCTACGCTTGTCAACATGAGCCCGGAGCTGGCGGAGTATAACCACGAGCGGCCGATCAACCTTGGCTTGCGCCCAAACCTCTATGTTCGTAACGTGGCTTATGTGGGCAGGAATCCTGAGGATTGCGCGCAGGTGCTTGACCAGGGCTCGATCCAGAGCTTCCAAGCTGCGGTCGTGACAGCCTACAAAGGGTAAGGAATACAGTGCACTGGTATAGACACAGGAGCGCCAAAGGCTTACCCTATGCCCGGCTGAGAGAGCGTGCTGGCCGTTGAGGGCGCGTCGTATGGCTTGCTGCCGGCCCTGCGCCGCTTTTTGGCGCTTCCTGACGTTTTTGCTGACTCTGCCGGCGTAGGAGACGACAGTACCCAAGTATTCATGTTCCTCCCGGACAGGTATGACACAGTGCCTGCCTGAGACCTGCAGGTGAAGGTGCCGTTGTCCCGCCTGATAGGACGTGTGTTGCAAGAGCACGCGTTCAGCATCCCTTCCAACAAGTTTGAGCAGAATAGCCGTCTTCTTGAAGTTGATACACAGGTGCATTGCCTCCAAGGTGGTCAGCAGGAGCTCGAGGTCCCGCACCGCATCGGTGAAGTCGGAGACCTGCCGAATGACCCAGTTGCCCCAGACGTCGTCTGCAAAAAGAGTCAAGGTGGCAAGGACCCAGGACAGATCACGCTCTGTGATGAGCCGCTCCAGGAAGGCTGTTGTGAAGTAACACCATAAATAAGGTGCTATTTTGCAGCCCTGTTTGATTCCATTGGTGGTGCTGGTGCCGCCCTTGTGTGTCCCAACTGAGTAGTGGTATTCCGTCCTTAGGTGGAGCTGCTGGACTGCATTTATGATCTCCGCTGGCACGCCGTGCGCCCCGAGCGCTTCGTATACGGAAGGTCGACATACGCCATCAAAGGCTTTGGTTAAGTCTAGTGAGAGGCTACATCCCCCAACACAGCGGCCAGCTCGTCTGCCACTATGTTGCTGAAAGCGATTAACAACGTTGTGCTCAAGGAGGGTGGCAACTTCCGCAAAGTGTGCATGTACACGAAGAAGCGCGTCAGCAGTGCCCCTGTTCTTTGTGTACGCGAACTGTGGTAGCTGTGCCAGGGCAGGTGCGAGGGCAGTCATTAAATGTCTTTTAAGAGCTCCAGCAAGAGCCTTGCTGGACGGGGACTGAAGGCCTATCGGCCGAAGGTCAGAAACTGAAAGCGGCTTCTTATTGGGTTTAGGGATCCAGGTGATATAGCAATCCTTCCAGTCTCCTTGAAGCGGCTTTTGTCCCGGGGCCTGAAAGTGTTCCCGCAGGGAGGGGCCAAGCACCTGGCTGATAGAGGTGCAGCACAGCTTCCATACGGCAGTCGGTGCCACATGACCCGGGACCGCCTTGCGCAGCCCAAGGTGGGCAAGCTCGGTGGCCAGAGCTTCGTCTGAGATGATCAGGTTATGAGCCGTACTACAAAGCTGAGGCTGGTCTGGCAGAGCAGCAAAGGTTTTCCTACCATATCGGATGATGGCCTGAAGCTCCTGCGGTGCAGTGAGTAGCTGGCCGTCCGGCCCGAGCATGCGAGAGATACCTCGGTGCGAGCGGGGTGTAAGACGTCGAACAACCTGATAAAGTGACCTTTGGTCGGCTCGGGCCGCAGCCTCCTCTGCTTGCTCCACCTGCGTCAGGAGAAACTGCCTCTTGAGCTGCCGGCTCTGGGCACGCAGGGCTAGCGAAGCCTGCCTGAAACGGACAGCTGCTCTCCACTTCATCCAGATGGCAGGCAGTGTTGGATGGGCATGGGCCTTCATAAGCGCGTAAAGGCGCCAGGTGTGCTTGGCACTGGCACGGTACTCAGGCTGGGCACTGACGCGGTGATCCTCTCTGGGCTGCGCCGGAAAGTGCTCGCACGCGGCCTTAAACAGCACTTGGTTGATTTGGAGTTGTGCTGCAGCAGGGTCCCGCACGGTACAGCGAGCCAACTGATCAGCAACATCCCGCTGAAGAGCCTGGGCAGCAGGCGTCTGCGATGCTACTGCCTGCTGAAGTGCTTGCACGTTGCAGGCTGCTGGCTTGGCCTGAGGCTTGGGAGCACTCGACCTGTAAGGCCGGAGGCCCACGGTGGCGTGAATCGGCCAGTGCCCCGCCTGCCGCCAGCCGGCAACAGGAAAACACGTTAGAGGCTTAGAAAATTTGGCAGCCCCCCTTGAATCCGAGGCTCGGGTAATGACATAATCTATCTGGCTCTCGCTGCCTGTGCAGCGGTAGGTAGCCCAAGGCTTTGCATGCCAGGTGTTGAGCGCTGTTAGCCCAAATTCAATCAGCAGTGCTTGCAGGGAGTTACAGTGATTATCATGCCGTGCACAAGGGGCCGCATGCCCCACAGCGGGTGGTTCCGGACTTAAGCAACCATTGAAATCCCCGGCTAGAACAACATGATGTCTGGCCGGTGTGCGGCGTAGCATGTCTCGGACTGATTGAAGGATGCCCTCTCGCAGCCGGAGGTTTTCTGCAGTGGTTAGATGCGTACGCCACACGTGCTGATAGACTGCAAGAATGGTAATGGGGAGTGCAGTAGGCTTGTAAACCGCCCGCACAAGAAGCAGCCTACCGGAGTGCAGCTCCTGCGTGGCCACCTCGTGAAAGGCAGCCCGGTGCAGCATGACCAGGAGGCCACTCGACCTGTCAGGTTTGGCTTCAGCAGCATAACCGGAGGAGTGCACACATTGCCATGGTCCACTGCAGAAATCCGGGGTTGGGTGCCAGTGTGTTTCTTGCAAGATGACCAGCTTGTACACTGGGTGATCGGCCGTCTCGAGCCAGGCCTGAAACTCCTGGAAGAGCCCTCCACCGAGCCCACTGGTATTCCACGAGATCATATGGAGATCCGTAGCACTGACTCGTTGGTGCGGATGTTGTCTACGTTTACAGCGAGTGGTAAGGTGTTCAGGTTGCGAGGTCAGGGTTTGCAGGGTTTGACTATCATGCCATCGTCCCCGGTACCATGTCCCTCCACAAACGGACCTGGCTGCCCTACTACAAGCTCTTTTATAAGCCCTCTTAACATGTTTGGGGTAGCCCCCTGAACCTGCTCGTGAAGTCGCCTCTCCGCGAGTCTTCCCTGTTCGGATACCTTCATGTGGCGGCAAAGGAACAGGTAGAGCACCTGACGCGGACCCAGGTGCAACCCTCGCCCCGTCTACCTGTGCGTGTAGAACCATAAGTATCACGGTGTGCAGGTAGATGCCGGATTTGGGACCGGCTCAGCGTTGCAAGGTAAGGTGCTTAGGGACACTAAGCTTCCTACCCCCCGTGTTGGGGGGGGGCCTACTTGTGGAAAGTATCGTCTCGGGCTGGCCTGGCAGCGGACTTGCGTGTGTAGCAGCAAGTGCCGTCGCTGCACGCATCCTGCGGAGACGTCGTCTTTGCTGGCTAGTTAGGGACCGGGCCGGGGCATAGGGATGCTGAGAATTAAGGACTTGGGAAGATTGGGCACAATAGCTCCTGGGGCGACCATATAATCGACAGGCCGGGCAGGGAGGCTGATCTTCATGTTGCTTCGTCTCCAGCGGCTCGTCGTAGGCGACGGGGTATTCGGTTGTGGGTGGCGTCGTGTTCATAGTGCATCCACCTCTCCAGCCTAGCTCCTGTGAGCTTCTGGTGAGCCACGTCCCGGACCCCGGCCCAGGCAAGTCTTGAAAGCTGTCGACGCATGGCAGCCACCCTGCCGCCCACCACTCTGTTGGCCAGGTGGCCTTGCACATCCCGAAGTTCCAGGCGGTATTGGCTAAGTAGATATTCTCCAGCTTCTCGTAGTTCGGAGCCCTCAAGGATGAGGGTCGTGTCGCTCCATGTCCAGGACGTGTCTGAGTGAGCTGCCCCGTCATCCGAGGCTCCAGCCGCCACATCACCTTCGCTGTCAGAAGGTCGGAGGTCGGAGTTCCTGGAAAAGGCCGAGGAGCTGTCCTCGAAGCGTCCGCTGGGTAAGTGCGGCCCTTGCACCCGCGCGGCGACCATCTCGCCACGCTCATCTGGTTCATGAAGCATTGGCCAGCGCTGGCTTTTATGGGAGTCGCTGTCAGAGGCGATGGCTGGCGTGTGTCCATCACCTTTACGGCGCCTAGTGGAAGCGGAGCTTGGCACTCCTCCCACTGGTATTGGCGGAGGGGGTCCCTTAGGCTCCAACAGATGAGCAGGAGTAGGGCCATCTGCCTCATTCCAGGGCGTGCGCTCCGTACGGGCTTCGGCCTCCAGTATGGCATCCTCCATGTCGTCTCCATCTTCCATAAGACTTCACCGAAGAACCCAGCCCCGAACGCAAAAGACGGAGAAAACAAAACCACAAGAAGGGCTCTCTCGCTGTGAGCCGCGGGGCTTCATCCTCACTATCATCATCATCATCATCATCATCATCATCATCATCATCACTGTGACCCTGACGATGGTGAAGATGATTTCGTTTAGGATGGTGATGGCGAACAGGAAGAAGGGCCTCCAAAGCTTTTGGGAGATTGGCCGCCTGATCCGAGATGCAGAAGCTGCTTCGCAGGTTTAGGGCTCCGGTGTAAAGCCAAGTTCGACAGATGTCCCAAGATAGTTGGAAGCATGCTTCGCTTTTTGGACCACGGTGGCTGTTCCACTAAAAGTTGTCGAAGAAAGTGCCCAACAGGGCCTCTGGAAAGCGCTGCAGATCTGGACCTGACTGGCTGATCCGTGGAGAGGCCGTCTCTTCGGGAAAAAAAGCCAACATGAAGCCCAAGCTCTAGACTAGAATGCAGACTACTCTATACCCAACGCCAACGGGAGACGACAGTGCAAGTCTTTGGAGGCCTCAGACATTCCTCAATTCCAAAATCACTGAGGCTCTGAAGCATAGAAACATCTTGCAGATGGAAGTCCTCCCTGCCCTCAGTCTCCCCGAGGAAGGCACCGAAAGAGTCGAGGTCTGCTGCAGAACTGGGCTGCTTAAGGCGAAGGGATCAAGCTGCCTTCTGCTCTTGCGTCCGAGATTTCGAACCCTTGACCCGAACCCGAAACCGTTTCAGATTTCCGAGCACCTCTGCCTGCAAGATGCTGAATGCTTCGGAATGGAAAGGTGGTGAAGAGCGACCGGGGAGTGTTGGCCAAAGACTGCAAGGAGAAGTGAGCGAGGTAGTAATCTGAAGACGAATGCATGAGGCTGCGCTTGGCTCTGCAAGGCACTATGCGACGACAGATCAGACACTAAGTCCAAGAGCTGCTGGATCAAAGCAAATACACGAGTTTACGGGGCTTCTGCTACAAGGCTTCCGAAAACATGGCGAGTCCCTGCACTGCACGAACACTCTACATATTTTACGCAAGCTTGTCTGACACCATCTGAACCATCCACCCTGCACGGCAAAATGAGGGCTGTTCACTGCGATCAGAATTGCCCGAGACCATCACCAGGGCTCTTGGCGCTCAGCCGCAAAGAGATCCACCTCACGGCTGCTGCATTGACAGAGTACGTGTAAACTCCTTGGGCTGGTGGGTTCTTTGCGCTTTGGAGTGTTCAGGACTGAAATATAAATTTGAGATGGTTCAGGCTTGAAGTTTTGGATGGAGATTACAAGCGGAGGATGGGAAATACGAGACTATGACGTACAGAACCCCAAGAACCCGATTGTGAGGTTTGCAGCTTGAACTTCCCGCGGTCTTCCTGCCGCGCCTCGCTGACGCTGTGCTCGCAGATCGTGAAGAGCGGCTTCCCAGCCTGCCCGAACGGCCGCAAAAAGTTGCTGCAACGACGTTGGGGACGGTGGTTCCCTCACTTAGCAGCAATGTGCTCTACAAATAAGTAGATAAAGACCTAGGAATGGATTTAGATATATACTTTATAGAAAGTAAAGAAAAGATAGACAGATAAGTGGTAGAAAGACCTGCAGATTGGCAGATAGATAGCCATGTGTCTATGTCAAGGTGTGCGTGCAGGTAAGACTGCATGTTGCATGGGTACGCAGGTAGGTCACCAGTCGGGTCGGTGGGGGGATAGGTAGGCAGGTAGGTAGGCAGGGAGGTAGGTAGGTGGGTTGGTAAGGTAGGGGCAGGTAGGTTGGTAGGTAGGTTGGTAGGTGGGTAGTAAGGTGGGTAGGCAAGGCAGAGCAGGCAGGTAGGCAGGCAGGCAGGGTGGGTAGGTAGGCAGGGAGGTGGGTAAGTAGGTCCCACCCACCCACCCACCCACCCAGGCACCCCACCCCCACCCCCACCCCCACCCCCACCCCCACCCCCACTCCCACCCCACACCCACACCCACACCCACACCCACACCCACACCCAGGTGTTTGTGTGTTTGTTTGTTTGTTTGCTTGTTTGTTTGTTTGTTTCTCTGTTTGTCTGTTTGTGTGATCGTTTGTTTGGTTGTTTGATTGTTTGTTTTTTGTTTGATTGATTCATTGATTGATTGATTGATTGATTGATTGATTGATTGATTGATTGATTGAGTGAGTGAGTGAGTGATTGATTGATTGATTGATTGATTGATTGGTTGGTTGATTGATTGATTGATTGATTGATTGATTGTGTGTGTGTGTGGTGTTTCTTTCTTTCGTTCGTTGTTTGTTTGTGTGTTTGCTGAATGGTTGTTTGTTTGCCTGTTTGCGTGCTTGCATGTTTGTTTGTTTGTTTGCTTGCTTGTTTGTTTGTCGGTTTGTTAGTTTGTTGGTTTGTTGGTTTGTTGGTTTGTTTGTTTGTATGTTTGTTTGCTTATTTGTTTGGTATTTTTTTAATTTGGTTGTGTGTTTGTTTAATTGTTGGGGTGTGTGGGTGTGTTTGTTTGTGTCTTCTTCCACAGGGCATAGGGGACTGTCGATGTCCCCCGGCCTATTGGCCCCCCATATGTTATGTGTGTCTCTCTGTGTCTTTCTCTGTGTGACTCTCTGTGTCGTGTGTGTGCGTGAACTGGAGGGCTCGCTCGACGACAAACGACGGCAACGTATGGCCTGGAGTCTGGAAGAGTAGTGCGCGGGAAAGTCCCCCGCTTTTGCGAATTCCACCTTCTACGATGGGGCAGGTCCTTGAGCACACGTACAATCTGGGCCTCATCCAGGAGGCCGAAAGGCTCGCTTTGCGGCGCCAGGGGTGCAAGGCGGCCACCTTCGCACCTCCCCGGAGCTCCACAGCAGATTCTGTTTTTGGTGGTTGTAGGTGTCGGTGGGATCAGGGAGGGTTCAAAGGGCTCGGGATGTTCAGGGCTTCAGCGCCTTCGAACAGCTCTCGCCAGACAACGCGGCCACATCACCGGCTATCTTAAATGTGTAGGCTCCAGGTTTGCAGCCGTCACGCGGACTTATGGCGCAGCCGGCAGACGCCTTCGGGCTGGATTGGTCCAAGGGCCGGGAAGGCAGCAGAAGCGGCAGTAGTGAACAGTTTGGCTGGCTCAGTGGCCACAACGGATTGGTTTAAGGCTGGAAAGGCATGGAACTTCGAGGCGACCAGGTTAGCGGAGAGCTGCAACCACTGAGAGGTGTGTTTTTTAATTTAGCACAGCCTGGTCAAGCCACTCTGCCTTGAACACACAGAGACCGCACTGGCCCGAGAGTGAAGCAAACACGCGGACCCTTTCCGCCACCTTGCAGTATCTTGATTCTTGACATAAGCAGGGGAGCTAGCTGGAGTGGAAATGTTGTCCCTAATTTTCCGGGTGGAATGGCTGCACCATGATACGGAAAGATAGACTATAGTGGGCGATTCCCATACCTCAGCAGTCGAAACGGAACGCAAGGAAAAAAGACATCATCTGCACCACCAGTGCTTGATACTGTCGTTCCACATGGGATCCTACAGCGATCTGGTTCATGAGTGGCAAGGGAAGTAATATTTATCCAGCTGCACACGTGGCCTGGAAGATAATTGCACTGACGCGGAACGCTCTGCCAAAAAAGCGTGGCTTTGGGCCTCTCGTCCGGCAGCATCTTCAGCCGCATCCGGCCCGACAAGCAAAGGAACCACCTTGCAACCCGAGAATGCAGCCACAACACACGCGACAAACGACTCGAAACTACATGAGCAAAGGAAGAAGCCAGCTCTTGCCGGTTGTGGTTTGGTAGGGTATGGACGCGTGCATTCACCAATTTCCTCCCAAAGCCGCATGCTGAACCCTAACCTTATCCCGCGAATCCCAAAGCTTCAATCATGTTTCAGGTTGGATTTGACATCGAGTTCAGGATAGGCTCTATAGAATGTAGGACACGAGACGTCTGCCAGAAACCTGGGCACTAACCACCGATGCTCTCGCAGCCAATACCAGTCCGACGCGGTTTCCAACGCCCTGGCCGTTGAAGTGCAGGCGCTGCGCGGGTCATGGCGCCGACTCGGCCAGTCGTCCATCAGTCCGACGCGGCTTCCGACGCGGGCCAGCACACAAACTCCTTTGCACACACCGTGACCGTGCTCATCTTTGACATACTGTTACTTCCGCACCTGCTCCATGTCATACCCAATCGTAACCCTGCGCTTCTTTGGAGCGGCGGCTCCCGCCTGCGCCGGTGTAGAAAAGGATGAAGGCTCCGGCCAATCTTCTGCCACCGTGCAGCTGACCTTCTCCAAGCTTGTGTCTGGGCATTCCAAGTGGATAAGATTGTTGCTAGTGCACAGATCCTCGCGGGACGCTCCTCGTATAACCCATAGTCCAGCACCGGACGTCAACAGCAGAGCTGCGTAAGCTTCCAGCGCGTGAAGCAAGGGTTGCCTCTGTGCTGGTCGAAGTATTCATAGCATCCTGACAAGTCTTTCAGCTGTTGCGCAAAGGTGAAGATGTACAACAAGGCGATTTCCAAGATCCTGTCTTCGACCCTTGGTAATCTGCGAAAGATGGAGCCAGCTGGTAAAGGACGTGTCGGCGGGTTTTTTTCAAGAGACGTTGACGTTGCTGGGAGTCCGCCGCGTTCACGCAGAAGTCTGCACGAGCAGGCTGTTGTCGGCACGTCGGCACCGGAGATTCCCTGTTCAAGAAACCGTCCTTAGCCGTGCCGATGTGGCCGCCTAGATCAAGCACATAGTCCGAGCTCTTGGGACTGAATAGCGCGGCCGCGGTGTTATCAGACGGCTTGTAGCACGCCCGTCCAAACACCTCATAAATTACTTTCATGTCGCAGTCCT